AAAACATCAAATAATGTGTTAATGGTGTGTTTTCAATATAGAACAGGGTGAATTGAATTTTCAAATTACTTTGTTTTTTTTGTTTTTTTACATTTTCCATACTGTCCCAACTTTTTCAGAATTGGGGTTGTAACTATTTATGGCAATTTCCCAGCCACAACTTCTATATTCTAACAGTGTTCTTAGAGACTGAGAATCTCTTACCAAAATTATTAAATCATTTTAACATAGCAACACCAAAGCAATACAGTAAAAAGTAATTATTATATTTTTTATTCTTTTTTTAGCCTTTCAGAAACATGAATACAGCCAGAATGCGGTAGAGATCATTTGACATTTGGAGCACAAGAATTCATCTGTGAACTGAAGAGGAAAATCTAGATGACCTTGTCTGCCACAGTTTTTGTCATGTGGAACCTTTCCTTGTGAAACAGTGAGTCAGTGAAGTTGTTCGGAAAGCACTGCAAAAAAATTATGATAAAAAAAAAAACATGATCCACATGTAAATTTCACATGTGGTGTCTAGACACTTGCGTAATATGTTATGTTTAACACATTTTTTACATGTGAACTTTTCACATACAGTCCTTGTGTTTTTTTTCTTTCCACATGTGATTTCACATAATTCATTTATTTTGATGTGTAAAATGTTTCATGCAGTTACATATTCCCATACATTTACTTCAATTCACATTTGCAATTTCAGCTCACAGCATGGTGAAATGCACCTTCACATGTTTTTCCACAACTGACCACATATTACTCACATACGCATATGGGAAATATAGGTGATTTTTCAGTAAGGATACACAAAATGGTGGTCAATTGATGTCCAAGACATATGCACATCCAGATTTACAGTTTTATTTTTATTTTTTTAAAACATTGGAAAGGTGCACGGGGTATGCTCAGAACCTTTTGCTCAAACTATATTTGCAACCAGCAACTCTTAAGCACTGTACTACAACCAAGCTCATATTTGAGTATATTTAGTGTTTGGAAGAGGCTGTGAACCAGTGAACCAGTGACAGGGTCATGGGCACCCAAGGCTCACTGATGCATGTGGGTAGCAAAGGCAAGCCGGTCTGGTCCAATCCCACAGAAGAGCTTATAAGCATACTGAAAAAAAGAGCATACTGAAAAAGTTAATGCTGGATTTTATAGAAAAGTGTCTGAACACATAGTGGAATGCATCTTTCTGCGTTATTTGGCCACTGGCCAAACAGAGCGCTCATGCTGACCCCTACAATGGGCACATGAGAATCAGAACTGGTCTTTCAGCAGGATAATGTGCCACACTGCAAAAATTGTGCAGGAATTGTTTGAGTAACAAGACAAAGAGTTCAAGGTGTTGATTTGGCCTCCAAAATTACACAGATCTCAATCCAACTGAGCATAAGTGGGATGTGCTGGATCAAATCCATGGAGGTCCAATCCATGGAAGCCTGATCCATGGAGGCTCAAAACTTTAACAGGAATTAAAGGATCTGCTGCTATCTTCTTGGTACCAGATACCACATCACACCTTCAGAGGTCTTGGGAGTCCATGCCTCAATGGATCAGAGTAGTTTTGGTGGCAAAAGGGGGACCTACACAATGTTAGGCAGGTGGTTTTAATGATATGGCTGATTGGCATCTGTCACAAATCTACACAAAATAGCCCATAATATTGAAGTGGGGTGATATATGTATATATATATATATATATATATATATATATATATATATATATATATATATATATATATATATATATATATATATATATATATATATATATATATATATATATATATATATATATATATATATCGACAGGGGCGCGTAACGGGGGGAAGATAGGACGGTTCTACGGTCAGGAGGCCCAGCAGAACCCCATATTTTCCTGTATGATTTTGCTAATTAAATGACCTCTTTGTACAGTAATCTATTAAGAAACTATGATGAATGTCCTCAGACCGTTCCAAGTGAATGTGTGTGTGTCCCCTTAAGACATTTGCGGTTTATTCAGAAACGCCGCACTTCACAGGTGTGAATCAAGAAAAACATGAAAAAGAGGACAGACCGCGACGACAAAGACAGCTAGTCACCCAGTTTTTCAATACAAAAAAATAAGGTGATTTCATGTTCCCTGTTTTGTGCAATGATTCTGAAGCTAGCCCGGATGAAACTGTTATCAGTAACATAACTGAAAAAAGGACGTTCAAAAAAGGCGGAAAAGCACCAAGCGACAGTAAAACTAGTCCAGTGATGTATATATTCACGCTTTCCGAAGCCTTGCAGCAGTTTTCTGTGAGGAATCGATCGAACTGTCATGGAATCATATAAATCTGCTTTATTTGTCCCGAGTGAGTTTATGAGAGAAGTGTTGTAATGATGTCCGATTCATGAGTGAATCGTTTGTTTAAGTCGGTTCATTCCAATGAATTGGAGAACCCCGTTGATAAAACCAGTCTGAATTATTCATTCACGAATAGAATCGATTTGACTGTGCCTCAGATCATCTGACACTGACAGAATTTAATCGGAGGAAAAATTTGCTCGCAACAGTCATTAATCGGCTGTCGGGGGACATGTCAAACTAGCGAACAGATTTTGTCCAAGGATTATAGGAATCTTTTAGGATTCTCAAAATTTGTCTCAGACGACCAAATCGTGGTCAAAATCGTACAGTGAAGACCCGGTTATACAGGTGTTATATATATATATATATATATATATATATATATATATATATATATATATATATATATATATATATATATATATATATAATAATCCCTGGCCATAATGTCCAGGGATTATATAGTTTAGAACAAAACAGTAGCAGCAGAACTAGCATTTACGGTCTTACATTAAGGTCTTGTTACCACAAGGGGGCAGCAGAACACAACAAACTCCATATTGTGCGCTTTAGTCGGGGATTTCGAAATAGCATGGTGAGTTCGTATAAAATTGTGGTATTGGAACTTAACAAGGTCTCACACTTGAAAATGTATAGCAATTCACACGATTGAATTATGGAAAGATGGTTAAGGTTAGAGGAGACATTGAGGCTTGTGTTTTTTTCTAACAATTTAATTTATATAAAATTGAAATAAATTTTCATACAAAAGGTACTAAACTGTACCTATCCTTGTCACTGGGTGATGCACTCAAATTACATCTCACTGCTGAACAATCCAGCTTGCTCTGACCACAGGCTGAGCTGGTCAAGCTGGTAGACTTTACCAGCTATTAAATTATTTTCCAACTTCCGTATTGCTTGAATAAATTGATCAATAAATGTTTAAGAATTCCTAATTGGCTTACCGTTTTGGTATTTTCTTAATAGTCACTGATCTTCAATGTAGCATTTGGGAGTGGTTTTTAGTACAAGCTGGAGAAAGATGATTTACCAGTTCGCCATGTGTTTTTGTACATGGTAGCTGGTCAAACAAGCTAGATTTTTTGCAGCATAGTGATTTTTTAGCATGTAGTGTCACTATAAAGCTTTATTTTAAAAGCTCATTAGATGTACAGTCATTATTCATTAATTGTATACTTTAACTTATATTTGAAGGCAGCATACACAATTCTCAGCTATGATACAAATTAAAGTTATAAATACACAATGTACTTATGAGGGTACACGGAACAGTTCAGTACCTTTTTTTCCTAAAGTGAACTACATCCATTGTGTTAATTCAAATTTCTATGAATGTCAGTTTGGTAAAACTGTGATTTTTTTTTCTGTGTGAAATCCTGACCCTTTGAAATTTGCTTATGAGTCTGGAAACTGAAAAGCAACCAGATGTTGATGTATGATGAGCAAAGCTCCGCAGACATTGTCAGTGATGCTGATAATAGAGCTGATGGGGGAGATGTATTTAAATAAGCATGTAAATATTAAACAGTGTAATTCTGTGCACTCTGAGAATGAAAGAGTAAATTTAGAACACTAAAGACATCTGTCCGGTACAAAGAAAAGGGGCTAAACTGTAATATGGCTTGTTGCTGGAAAAAGATTAAACTGTATTAATCCAAGGGCAAAACTGGGTAAATGTTTTATAGTGGCATAGAAATACTAGCAAATGTGAAAAAATAAAATAAAATAAAAATTATTCAATAACATTTACATATGTACTTTTTGACAGTAATAACTGATTAACTAATGAAAACGGTGATGGTGCAACTATGATAATGTATATGAATAATGTTAATAAAAACGTTTGCAAAGTATTGGAAAAAATCAGAAAAGTTCAGATTAAGAAAGTAGATTAGTCTGAGTATTAATGTCAGGAGGATGAACTAATGATGGTGTTGTGTAGTCTGATGCAGGGAGAAAGCATCTGGAAAGAGTAGTTACTCTTATGATGGTTGAGAGCTTGTCCAGTACTCTCCCCTCCACCACAATCTCCATCACCAGTGTCCAGTCTGAGCCTGAACTTAACCAGCTCTCTTAAGTTTATTATGTCTGATGGCACTCTCATACGTTTTAGTATGTGTCTGGAATTGAATGTAACATATCTTTAAAACTGAGAGGCACAGTGGCTTAGTGGTAGTCATGTTTGCCTCACACCTCCAGGTTTCGAATCCCACCTCGTCTTCCGAACCCCGGGTTTCCTCCAGGTACTCTGGTTTCTTCCCCTCGTCCAAAGACATGCTTTGTAGGCTGATTGAGGTTTCCAGATTGTCCGTAGAGTGTAAATGGGTGTGTGTGGAATTGTGCCCTGTGATGGGTGGCACCTGAGTTCCCTGGGATAAGCTCTAGGCTCCCCTGTGACCCTGTGTAGGATAAGCAGTACAGAAAATGGAGGGATGGATATCTTTAAAACTTATTTAAGGGAAAGCAGATTTCTAACTATGTTCATTAAATGAGTATGTAGATTACATACACTTTACCACTTTTACGGCATTTTGGCAAATGGGCTTATCCAGTATAACTTACATTTATCTCATTTATACAACTGAGCAGTTGAGGGTTAAGCGTTTTGCTCAAGGACCCAGCGGTGGCAGTTTGGCAGTGCTGGGATTTGAACTTACAGCCTTCTGATCAGTAGTCGGAAGGTTTTAACCATTCAGCTAACTCTGCCCTCATTTAATATTTTTCTCTGAGAGTGAAACCCTAAAACAGAACCTCTTTAAGAAACTCTTTTAAGAATCTATAACTATAAAGGATTCTACATAGAATCCTTAAGGCAGTGATTCTCAAAGCGGGCCACAAAACATAGCCAGGGGATCTTTGATTCCCCCCACCATTTTGTTATAGGAAATCTACCATTATCAAAGTTATTATATATATAATTTTTATTGTTATTAGCCTATTTGATGGCTCACCATAATGTAATGGGATTAATCAGAACATCAATATTCCATAAACAAGGCCTAAAAGTGATCATTAGTATCTAAAGTGTTCTGTCGGTGGAAAGTTCAGGAATGAAAAAGCTTCAGTATTTGCCACTAAGAATTCAGAAAATTCTAGTGCATATATCAAGTTCAAATGTACACACATAATTACCTTTGACTTTGTAATTATAAATATAAGCCTAAGTATGTGTTCATTAGCTAAACAAATATACAGTGGGGGAAATAAGTATTGAACGCATTAACATTTTTTTCAGTAAATATATTTCCAATGAGGCTATTCACATTAAATGTTCACCAGACATCAGTATTTACTCAAGAAATCTGGAAATTATAAAGAATTCACTACATAAAAGTCCTTAAATAAAGTTATGTGTAATAAAGTGGAATGACACAGGAAAAAAGCACTGAACACGCTAAGAAAAAGCAGTTCTCCAAGTCCAGGTAAGGCAAGGAACCAGCTGAAATCTGTAAGTAATTATAACTTTTATCTGTGCAAATTGATATCAGCTGGGTTAGTAAATTGACAGTCTATGAATAGGCTTTTTGTTATGTATTTCAAAACTTCTGAATCCTTCAGTAAACACCATTGGGGCCATTATCCGTAAGTGGAAGCAACATCTTTCAGTCATTACCCAGCCACGCACAGGAGCTCCTCGCAAGATTTCTGACCAGGGAGTCAGAAGAATAGTCAGAAGAGTAGCCAAAGAGCCAAGGACCACTCGGAAAGAGCTCCAGAAACACTTGGTGGCAGCAGGTGTCATAGTCACAGAGAAAACTATAGGCAATTCATTCTACTGCTCACGCTCAGCCTGCAAGACTCCATTACTAAAGAAAAGGAAAGCAAAGGAAACTCTCAATTGGTTTCAGAGAAGAAGAAAAAATCAAGGTGTTAGAATGGCCCAGTCAATCACCTGACTTGAATCCAATTGAACAAGATTTAAAGACAATATGTTTAGAAGAATGGGCCAAAATCACATCTGAATACTGCGGCCAATTAATTTCTTCTAAAGGAAGCGTCTTGAAGCTGTCATTACAAACAAAGGTTTCTCCACAAATTATTATTAATAAATTTCAGTTAGCATGTTCAATAATTTTTTCCTGTGTCATTCCACTTTATTATCCAACTTTATTTATGGAATTTACTGTTGTGAATTCTTTATATTTCCAGATTTCTTGAGTTAATTCTGGTGCCTGGTGAAAATTTCACGTGAATAGCCTCATTGGAAATATATATACTGAGCAAAATTTTGACACGTCCAATACTTATTTCCCCCACTGTAGCTCTTATAGATAATTGCCATAGAGCAGTGTGTCAACACTGGCCTACAGAATACACCGTAACAGAGTGTTAACCCCCTCATCATCTTTCACTGGAGTGAGAGAGCGAGGGCCATAAAGTGCACAGTGCAGCTGATGTAAAAAAGGAGAGCAGCAGGTGTGATGACTGGTGGGCAATGTAGCTCTAATGGGAACGCTGAGTTATGGCTTTATTGTAGTTGGTATCGTCACCACAGCCCATAGACCAGGCCACCTGCCTTATCACTAGTCATAAAAGATGAGATATGGACCATACAAGAACAAACTCAAGCAAATAGCCCTGAAATGTTAGATAGCTTTCATGAAAATATAATTGAGGCCTATGGTGTATCTGTGTATGGCAAACAAATGTCAATATATCCCATTTTTTTGCATAAAATTGCATGTTCTTTTCATATGGCGTGTAATAGGGCGGTAGACTTGCATATCACCTCTCCAAAAGCAATAATGTCCCTTCCATTTTAAAAAATGCCAGGTATAATCATTTATCATTTGCTCTTTATTAAGCTGCTTTTCAATCACAATCCTGTCCTGTTTGTCCTGAATAACACTAGCGTCTGTATGCTTAATGACAACATTATTAGGAAAAGGTGTAATGGATCATAAAGGTGATCTAAGCTTTATGGAATTTTTGCCAAATGCCTAATTGTTAGTCAGAGGATTTTATACTAACACAAATGATTGGTTACTGTCTTGTCTTGTGAAACAACGATTGAACATTGAAATGCTTAGTTTTATAGTCAAGCACGCAAACAAGTGCTCTTCTCTTTGCTTGGTCTATGCATTAAAACAGATCCTTTTGCAAACATCGTTTTTATGACATCCACCCAAGCCAGTGGCTTCAGGTCTTTCAGTCCTCAGTCTAATCAGACACTATGGGTACTCACTCACTTTGAAGACTTCCGCTGTTTGCTCTCAACTCCAACAGTCAGCAAAAGTGTTTATGTTCAGTGTTGACATGTGGTTATCAGGTTAACTAACATAATATCATAAATCCCAACCATGTTTAAATTGTATTAAATGTGATTAACTAATCATCTAAAACATCATAACGTGGCATATCAAATGAAGGATATTAGTCCTGGTGTTATGTCCATTTTATAATCATTTATTTAAATAATATAATAGAGGCTGAAGCAGTTTCTCACTTATCTCTATTAAGAAATATGAGGCAACAATGGTGACCTTTCTGCGATGAAATAACAAAGAAAACATCAAGCTCAGAAGGGGACCCATCCAGTCCAAACATTTGGGTAACATCATGAACCATTGAAGTAAGCTGTCAATGATTAAAAAATACAAAAAAATATATTTTTCAGGATGATTAGTGAGCGTCGATGAGAGTTGAAAAAGACAATGCAATGTTTTTCCTAACTTTGGGTCTCCAGTTTCAGTGAACTTGAACTTGAACATGTTGAATGTAGCCTCATATTCTTGTTCTTAAATGACATGAGTGGAACCTGATGTGGTCTTCTGCTGTTGTGGCCCATCCACCACTAAGTTTGATGTGTTGTGCATTCTTATATTCTATATTATCACCAACAACCTCCACAGGGCAGGGGTGAAGGTATCACAATCCACCATTTGAAAAAGACTTTGGAAGTATAAATATAGAGGCCATATCAAAAGATGCAAACCACACATCATCAGTAAGAATCTGAAAGCCAGATTAGAATTCGCAAAGAAACAGGCTCACTAATCTTTATTTATGATGTAACTCGTGATGGTAGCAGCAGAAGGAATTCAGAAGGTTACAGGAATATTATGTCTGCCAATTTACAGTGAAATGCATCCAATCTAATTGGGTGGAACTTCATGCAGCAAGACAATGATCCAAAATGCACTGCCAACACAACAAAGGACAAATCAGGGGGGAAAAGTGGAATGTTTTAGACTGGCCAAGTCAATCACCAGACCTAAACCGAATTGAGCATGCATTTCACCTCCTGAAGAGGTGACTGAAGGGAGAAACCCTCTGAAACAAACAACTGAAAGAAGCTGCAGTACAAGCCTGGAAAAGAAACGAATGCAACATTTTGGTGATGTCAGTGGGTCACTGACAAGTTGCAGTTGTAGCAAGCAAGGGATATGCAACCAAATATTAATTTTCATATACATTTTAATAATTAATTTAAATAATATTAATGTTATTTACTTTAATTAACTTTAAGACTATCTAATCCTTCCTGCCGGGGCCATGTGTGTGCGCGGAGTTTGCATGTTCTCCACGTGCTGCGGGGGTTTCCTCCGGGTGCTCCGGTTTCCTCCCCCAGTCCAAAGACATGCATGGTAGGCTGATTGGTGTGTCTAAATTGTCCATAGTGTATGAATGGGTGTGTGAGTGTGAATGTGATTGTGCCCTGCGATGGACTGGCAGCCTGTCCAGGGTATACCCTGCCTTGTGCCCGATGCTCCTTGGGTTGAAGCGGTTGAAGATGGATGGATGGACTATCTAATCCTATACTTTCGTCTTTTGGGACGGCTGTGGCGCAGTTGGTAGAGTGGGTTGTCAACTAATCGTAGGTTTGGTGGTTCGATTCCCGGCCCTGAGGACTCCACATGTTGAAGTGTCCTTGGGCAAGACACTGAACCCCAAGTTGCTCCCGATGGCAAGTTAGCGTCTTGAATGGCAGCTCTGCTACCATTAGTGGATGAATGAGACACAGTGTAAAGTGTTTTGGATAAAAGCGCTATATAAGTGCGCCATTTACCCTTTACAATTTACATAAAAATTGGGTGGTATACCTCCAAAGGTGCTATGTTAGTTGTTTAGCACATCTAGATTTAAATATCAGGAAATGAAAGCTGAAATTGATCTTAAATCCAAATGTCTTTAGTGTTGAGCAAAAACAAAAGAATTGGCCTTACCATTCCGATGCTTTCAGAGGACTGTACATTTGGCACTAGCCAAAATTACTTATTTTTTTGTTTATCAATGTTTGGCTTATAGGGTTTTAAAATGGAGGGATGGTTGTTGTGAGAAAACCAACATGGTTTCACTTGTGATATTTCTTAAACAATTCGTACAACCCTTCTTGTGTGCAGTTTGTATCTTTTTACAACCCCAATTCTAAAAAAAAGTTGAGATGCTGTATAAAATGTAAATAAAACCAGAATGCAATGATTTGCAAACCTCATGAACCCATATGTTATTCAACATTTTTTGAATTTGATTACCATAACACATCTCAAAAAAGTTCGGACGGGGCAACAAAACTGGAAAAGTAAGTGTTGCTAAAAAGAAACAGCTGGAAGAACAGTTTGCAATTAATTGAGTTAATTTGGCAACAGTTCATTACCATGATTGGGTATAAAAAGTGTATCTTAGAGAGGCAGAGTCTCTCAGAAGTAAAGATGGGATGGAATCTGGATGGAAGCATATGTTCCTCTAAAACCTCAGAGTATATAC